ACACATTAACGAAACATGTATCAAGGTTCTGTTCACGCCTAGAAGTATAAAGTTTCCGTTGTAATGCGAAAACCGTAGCTGATTCCCATTCTTAAACTTGTCATTAACTAGACTGAGCAGTAGAACTGCAGACAAAAATTCATTCGAAGTGTACATGGCGGAGCAATATTGATTTATTCGATAGGATTTGATTAGAAGCCTGGTTCACAGTGTCGCATCTATGTAGTCCAGATGTGTTAGAAACTCAGCCAAATAAATTGCAGCATAATTCGTATACTGATGGCTGTCCCCCGGGTTGTTTAAATTACGCATACAGCCCGCAGGTCAACGATCCAAACGAAATCCATTGTATTGTTGTACCAAATGGAAGAGATGAGTTAGATGTAATCGTTGGTCTTCGGTCAGTTACAAAGATTGAATCTACCCATCCTGCCTTGAAGCTGATGATAGTTCAAGGGGCAGTCAACCCACTCACTCGGGGAAGTATAATTCCCACCATTTAGTCACTTCCAATCGCCTTCGTTTTACCAAATCTCCTTGCTCTTTGTGTTATATTCAAATAACTGAGAACCGGCTGTCGGTCAGAATGACGACGGTTAAGAAACCTGGGCACCTCGAGAAGGCCATCTTCCATCAAGCACAGTGGCCCTTGATTGGTCCATGTTCAATCGAATTCAGACCAAAAAAGATACAATCAGCGAGAGGTTAGCATTTCGTTTGATCTCCTCAATTACTAACGAAAAAACCAGCAGGTATATATATATATATATCATATAAGGTTGGTTAGTCCCTCGCTTTATGAGCCCGAAATTCATTGAGACAGTCAGATTACATGCATAGAAGGTGGCATTTTTTCTAGTTTTGACATTCCCTGTTTGCCTTTGTGCATTCGATCAATAGTATTTATCGACCCAATGTGCCACGCTTGTGCCTGTGTCTGTTTTACTTCAGTGATTGAAGATAATCAACGAGGCATCAACACCTTGGGAAATCCGTCTTTTCTTTTTCTTCTTTTCGCCTTGTTTCAATGGATAAAGGGTATGTGGTGTTCTCGTCTTCCATTGCATAACCCCTCCATATACGTGCCAAATAGTATTTTTTCTTCTCCATAGATGAACTGTCCCCCTAGTTGATACTGTGTCCTCATTCAATTCTCAGGTGACCGGTTTTCAATACTTAACTCTTTCCATAGTTCCGTCTTTTATTCTCGTACTTTTTATTCCTTCTACTCTATCTTCGTTTTCTTAACTCCAAATGTGTTCGGTTATTAGGCAAGAAAACGAACACGGTCTGTTTGACAGATCGAAATTAAATAAATGCTTAAATATGGTTGGTATTCATCGCATAAAGTCTCAAACTGTGAAATGTGCTTAGACAGTCGTTTGAGTGCAATGGTCCATACCACACCCGCTCATGGTGTGTTAAAATGAAACAAAGCAAAAACAGTTTTCCACTAACTCCTTTTTCGTTGACGTAGCATTTCACGCATAAACTCTCAGCATGCACACGTGTCCCTTCAATGCGCCCAGCTACGTGATGTAAGTGGGGCAAGAGTAGAAAGGTAAAATTGAATCAAACGACCTTGGATTGCAGCAAATCTGATTGTCCATGCCTGAGGTGGAATATGTGTGTGTTGCAGTGTGTCTGTGCAAACCACGATCAATGTGAAAGAATTTTTCGGCACTCGGGAGGGAAACTAGTCAATGATTGACAGCAGCACAGGGAGTAGTGGATTTGAAAAATATTTCACAATCACCGCTATCCGATATCCGATGAATTTCTGGAATCAAAGGAGTTAAAAAAGACAGTATCATCAGACGATGAATGAAGGTTGTGTGTATGTTTGTGTGGATACACCCAAACCCCGGATGGCATGCAACTACAGGCATTCAACTTCAGTCTACCCCTTTTGTTTATCGGAACCAGTTTTCCTTGGATGGTCATTACCAGTCTACAACTTTGGTCCGAGGTCCACTTGACAGCTTACCAACTGCTTCGGGGCTGATAAAACCTGATTTATGACTTCAACGCGGAACACATTTAGTAGCTAATATCTTCAAATG